TCACACAGTGCAGATATCAATGATACAGATCACACAGTGCAGGTGTCAATGATACAGATCACACAAAGTGCATGTGTCTGTGATACAGATCACACAGTGCAGGTATCAATGATACAGATCATACAGATCACACAGTGCAGGTGTCAATGAGACAGATCACACAGTGCAGGTGTCAATGATACAGATCACACAAAGTGCATGTGTCTGTGATACAGATCACACAGTGCAGGTATCAATGATACAGATCATACAGATCACACAGTGCAGGTGTCAATGATATAGACTGCACATAGTGCAGGTGTCAATGAGACAGATCACACAGTGCAGGTGTCAATGATACAGATCACACAAAGTGCATGTGTCTGTGATACAGATCACACAGTGCAGGTATCAATGATACAGATCACACAGTGCAGGTGTCAATGATATAGATCATGCAGGTCACACAGTGCAGGTGTCAATGATATAGACTGCACATAGTGCAGGTGTCAATGAGACACATCATACAAAGTGCAGGTGTCAGTGATACAGATCACACATAGTGCATGTGTCTGTGATACAGATCACACAGTGCAGGTATCAATGATACAGGTCACACAGTGCAGGTGTCAATGATATAGATCATGCAGTGCAGGTGTCAATGATATAGACTGCAGATAGTACAGGTGTCAATGATACAGATCACACAGTGCAGGTGTCAGTGATACAGGTCACACAGTGCAGGTGTCAATGATACAGGTCATACAGATCACACAGTGCAGGTGTCAATGATACAGATCACACATAGTGCAGGTGTCAATGATACAGGTCACACAGTGCAGGTGTCAATGATACAGGTCACAATGATACAGATCACACAGTGCAGGTGTCAATGATATAGACTGCAGATAGTGCAGGTGTCAATGATACAGATCACACAGTGCAGGTGTCAATGATATAGACTGCAGATAGTACAGGTGTCAATGATACAAAGTGCAGGTGTCAGTGATACAGATCACACATAGTGCATGTGTCTGTGATACAGATCACAGTGCAGGTATCAATGATACAGATCACACAGTGCAGGTGTCAATGATATAGACTGCAGATAGTACAGGTGTACTGATACAATGATACAAAGTGCAGGTGTCAGTGATACAGATCACACATAGTGCATGTGTCTGTGATACAGATCACAGTGCAGGTATCAATGATATAGATCATACATAGTGCAGGTGTCAATGATACAGATCACACAGTGCAGGTGTCAATGATATAGACTGCAGATAGTACAGGTGTCAATGATACAAAGTGCAGGTGTCAGTGATACAGATCACACATAGTGCATGTGTCTGTGATACAGATCACAGTGCAGGTATCAATGATGCAGATCATACAGGTCACACAGTGCAGGTGTCAATGATATAGATCATACAGGTGCAGGTGTCAATGATACAGATCACAGATCACACAAAGTGCAGGTGTCAATGATATAGACTGCAGATAGTACAGGTGTCAATGATAAAGTGCAGGTGTCAGTGATACAGATCAGATCATGCATAGTATATGTGTCTCAATGATACAGATCACACAGTGCAGGTATCAATGATACAGATCACACAGTGCAGGTGTCAATGATATGGACTGCAGATAGTACAGGTGCCAATGATACAGATCACAGTGCAGGTGTCAGTGATACAGATCATACATAGTGCATGTGTCAGTGATACAGATCACACAGTGCGGGATCATATAGGTCACACAGTGCAGGTATCAATGATATAGATCATACAGGTAGTGCAGGTGTCAATGATACAGGTCACAAAGTGCAGGTGTCAATGACACAGGCCATACAATGCAGGTGTCAGACTGCAGATAGTACAGGTGTCAATGATACAAAGTGCAGGTGTCAGTGATACAGATCATACATACAGTGCAGGTGTCATACAAAGTGCAGGTGTCAGTGATACAGATCACACAGAGCAGGTGTCTGTGATACAGATCACATATAGAGCAGGTATCTGTGATACAGATCACACAAAGTGCAGGTGTCAATGATACAGATTGCACATAGTACAGGTGTCAATCATACAGATCACACAGTACAGGTGTCCGTGATGCAGATCAAACAAGGTGCAGTTGTCTGTGAAACAGATCACACACATAGTACAGGTGTCAGTGATACAGATCAAAGTGCAGGTGTCTGTGATACAGATCACACAAAGTGCAGGTGTCAGCAATACAGGTCACACAAAGTGCAGGTGTCAATGATACAGATCACACAAAGTACAGGTGTCAGCGATACAGATCACACAAAGTGATATGACAGTTTGGGCGTTCATGAAATGTCACAGATAATCAGCCTGGAGAGGTTTTCGTCTAAATTCTTTTGATGTTTGTCTATATTTGTTTTTCACTCATGTTCTTTAGCTATGTCATGTTTGAAATTTGTAGCAAATGGGTTTTCTTTCATGGCATGTTCCTCCCTGCATGAGCATTTATCCTGACAACATTTGCTGTAAGCTAATTAGTATTAAAAACAGTTCCTTATTGTCTGTGGTGCATCAGCCCCATTGGCCAATACCTGGATGGGTTTGTGATAGCATTAATGTAGTGGATACCACTGTCCAGCTTCATGCTCACATACTGAATTGCCTGTAGAGCCTCCCACTTCAATAATTCCACACACCAATGATCACCTTTGTGTCATTAAAAATCTATAAAAATGTCTGCTGTAAATCCCTTTGTGTTTTTATCGAATTGTTTGTAGGAACACAAAATCAGAAACATCCCCCGTGGCATTTGTGTACATATCATAAGACCGGCTTTGTTTGTATGGGACCAAATGGACCTCCCAATTCGAGAACACCCTTTGTCATGAGAAACAATGCTGTTTGGTTGAAGGTAGATGAACCATGCCACAGCAAAATACGGGCTAGCTATGATGTAGCCTTTTTCCAGAAAGCCAATACCCCTTCCCTGAAACTTATCTGTACGCATGGGATGTTTTGTTTTGCAGTACTGACCTGTTGGTAGCAAACTAGTAAAGCCATAAAACAAACTGAAGCGCAAAAGCTTCCAGTACATAAAACAGTTTCAAGTGCCAAATTAAGAGGTCAGATACAGAGTGAAAAAAGGGGTATTTGCCTTCTTCCATGTATCAGGCTTGGATGGTGGGAGTCAGTCTCACTGGGGTTATCAACATTTCTTCATCGTCTGCAATAAAAACAGAAAAGGGAAAACAAAAGTTGATATTCAGCACAAAAGGCATCCTTATATTATGTTTAATGTCATGATGTGAACAACTTTTCCCAAAAATGTGCATTTTATTATCTTTGCCAAAGAATCTAAGTGTTAGTTTTGTAATAAACAGCTATGTGAAGAAATTGGTATTTGTGATTGAAAGTTGATAACCTTAAAGTTAATCAAAGATTTTGTTACTTTACCCTTGTTTAAGTTGAACATCTGACTGTATTTACATTTTCTCACTCTTCAGTTTCATGCACATGATTTTGTAACCTACCCAATGCCTAGAAAAAATACAGAACTTTATGTAAAAAGAAAATTACGCTTGTTGAAAAAAACCTGACACATTCCAGGTTTGTAGGAGGGTGGGGCCTGATTATATGGATTTGATTAAGCGTTCTGAATAGTCAGGCAATTCCTGTTAAAACCCCATAGCTCTGTTTGACTGACTGAAAGATCCAACTCACACAGCTTTGTTGCTATGGAAACTGCATTATATAAAATCTGCACATATGCTGCCATTTGTTCTTATAAGGATCACTTATGTAGATTTCAAGTAAAATATGCTTATCAACATTTATTTATTTATTTCTAAAATCTCAAAGAATCGTGTGTTTAAACTGATCCGTGAGTAAATGTTACTCAAAGAATTGACAATACTGTGCAGGTGTGTTGAGACTGACCCTTCAGTAAATGTTACATTTCATATATATGTGACATTGCCTATATTGTGCAGGTGTGTTGAGACTGACCCTTCAGTAAATGTTACATTTCATATATATATATGACATTGCCTATATTGTGCAGGTGTGTTGAGACTGACTCTCAGTAAATGTTACATTTCATATATATATATGACATTGCCTATATTGTGCAGGTGTGTTGAGACTGACCCTTCAGTAAATGTTTTATTGCCTATATTGTGCAGGTGTGTTGAGACTGACTCTCAGTAAATGTTACATTTCATATATATATATATATGACATTGCCTATATTGTGCAGATGTGTTGAGACTGACTCTCAGTAAATGTTACATTTCATATATATATGTGACATTGCCTATATTGTGCAGATGTGTTGAGACTGACCCTTCAGTAAAGGTTACATTTCATATATATATGACATTGCCTATATTGTGCAGATGTGTTGAGACTGACCCTTCAGTAAATGTTTTATTGCCTATATTGTGCAGATGTGTTGAGACTGACCCTTCAGTAAATGTTTTATTGCCTATATTGTGCAGATGTGTTGAGACTGACCCTTCAGTAAATGTTTTATTGCCTATATTGTGCAGGTGTGTTGAGACTGACCCTTCAGTAAAGGTTACATTTCATATATATATGACATTGCCTATATTGTGCAGATGTGTTGAGACTGACCCTTCAGTAAATGTTTTATTGCCTATATTTTGCAGGGGTGTTGAGATTGACCCTTCAGTAAATGTTTTATTACCTATATTGTGCAGGTGTGTTGAGACTGACCCTTCAGTAGAAATGTTATATTGCCCCTTTTGTGCAGGTGTGTTGAGACTGACCCTTCAGTAAATGTTTTATTGCCCCTTTTGTGCAGGTGTGTTGAGACTGACCCTTCAGTAGAAATGTTATATTGCCCCTTTTGTGCAGGTATGTTGAGACTGACCCTTCAGTAAATGTTTTATTGCCCCTTTTGTGCAGGTGTGTTGAGACTGACCCTTCAGTAAATGTTTTATTGCCTCTATTGTGCAGGTGTGTTGAGACTGACCCTTCAGTAAATGTTTTATTGCCTATATTTTGCAGGTGTGTTGAGATTGAAGCCACGTTCCCTATGGAGTCCCTGCTGTCAGTACAGGTGTTTGACTGGGACCTGGTTGGAATGGATGACCTCATAGGCGAGAGTAAGATTGATCTGGAAAACAGGTTCTACAGTCGGCATCGGGCCACTTGTGGACTGGCTCAAAAATATGAACTGTAAGTGAAAAATTTATTTTAGTGGTTCTTTGTGGGATTTTATAATCATGCAACATACATTTCAAGTGCTTCCCCCTTGAAGCCCTTGTAATTTGACCTGGTTCACTTTCAATGCAAGATGTAAAAAATATAATTCAGAAAACGTATAGGTTCGCTTTTCAATCACGGTTACATGTTTATATTGTTTTATATAATACCAGCTAGAATGTGCTATGATACCATTCTAAAACTAAAAACCATAGTTGATGCCGCATGCACCATACACCTGGGAGCTCCAGATGGCAATGGTGTTCATCAAAATAGCAAACTTAAATCATAATTATTTTTTAGCTGAGAGGCTGACATAGAAAACTGAATGTCTTGTCATTATTGTACTGGGCTATAACCAGACATGCATGCTTCCCTGTGAGTAAGAAGCAAATCCTTGGCTAATTTATTCAATTAACCATCTTAGAGGTTTGTAACAATGTTTCTAATTGAGTGAGTTTTAGGCATGAGGTGCAGTGGCATCATGGGACATTCAGGGGAGGTAATCTGATCTTGTGGCCCTGACGTCTTCATCAGCCATGTCAACACATCCCCTCTGGGTGTGAAGAAATTTGTTAATGATGACAAGTAGATTTGATAAGGTGTGAGATCAAAACACTGTTTCTTTACCTCATTAGAGAGACGGCCTCAATTAAGCGACAGTTCCCTTGAATGAGGCTGCAACATGAAAGGCCAAGCTCCCAGTCGACTTGCTAACTGTTTATCTACACATACCACATAGGGCCTAGCGATCAATTTTTTTTGTTACTTGAAAAAACAAAAGAAGACAAATTGGCAAGCAAGTTCTGAATCAGTATTTATGGAACTTGAACATGGCCAAATATAATGACTGCGGAAATGATTGTAACATGGCTGAAATTCCCGCTTGTCACATTGTGCTAAAGAATCTGGGTAGAAATGTTCTTTGAATGAGGAATGGCACTTTGTCAAATTTTGATGTTTGTACAGGCAATCCCCAAGACCTTTCTCTCAAGGTAGATTGGTTTTCACTTCATTTGTGGTTGATAACCAGGCAGGATGCACTGGGTGTGATCCCTGTCATTCACCATACTAATTTCTTCTTTATCTCTTGGCTGCTCATGTTTGAGTGACAGCTACCTACAAGGAAAAAGGATGGGAGAGGTCTCTCCAGCATATTTTCAGCATTTAATTTTTGCGTCATTAGTGGATGGTTTTATCTATTCCCAGACAAGTCACTAACAGTGAGATTTGGTTAACAAATACAACCTTTTTTGTTAATTTATGATTTAAAAGTCTTCTTTTTCAAACAGATTAGATTTGGAATTGCCAAGACTATGTAATGAGACCAAGAAATGTACATATACATGAATTCAAAATAAGAAAAGAATTTGCTTGAGCAAGATAAAAATAGAATTGATATATGTTTTCTTAGAAGAAAAAAGATTTTGCACTGATGTGTAAATCTTCTGGCTTTTAAATATTGAACCTTTACAGCATGAAACTTTGTGAAATTTCAATCAATATTAATATTCTCAATCAGACGGTCATGTTACAACACCAAGTGTTCTCAGACCGAAAGCCCTAAGCTATTAAATGAGGCTCAGTATGATGTTAATTCCAAGTTTTTACAGCAAATGTGTTTTGACCTTAACCTTAATTTCCTCTTTGTGTATGTTGTATAAGAAACTAGGAAATGTTTGAATAGATTTCCGTCAGAAACATTATTTTTTCTCATTTCACATATTCACCATGGAATTCAGGAATTTCTTCTAAATAATGCTGAAATCAAAAATATTGAATTGTATTAACTTCTCAATTTGTGGAGAAAAAGTGTAATCTTGGGGGAAATTTAATACTGAACAGTTTAAGAATTATATATTAACAACTACCTCCTACAAAGATAAGAAAGTGAATAATATTACTTAAGCAAAGTCAATAAAGTGGAAATTTTGTCAGACTGAAGAATGATTAAAAACGTCTCCAACTGAGGCTTTTCTGTCCAATTTGTTTGTTGTCTTGTAAACATTATCTTTACAGTGCCTGGGAGGGCAGAAGATCACAAGCTCTGGACACTTCACTTTAATCAAGAAAATTAATTTTGACAGTCTATAATGGGGAGGAAATTGAATGGAAATTGCACAAAATTGTCATGTGGGGGACAGGGGGAATGGTACTTTTCCTCCTTCCCATGGGAGAGCCACTCATCCAATCAAACTGTTTCCTCAAAGTAACATTTATCTTATTACAAGGGTTAATCTCATGAGTTGAGACAAATTGGGGAAGATACAGGCACTTTAATTCTATAATAGTCCAGGGATGCAGTCGGTCCACATAGTGGTAATAACACCAGAAGTTTCAATATTAACATTCTGTGTTATTCCCAGTGACAGGGAAGCACAAAATTAACTTGCCCTCTCCAGTTTTGTCTTTATATGATGTCAAGTTTATGTCAAACTTTGGTCATTATGACAGTTAGTTTTCTCCACCAATACACCCATCACTTTAGTTGTGTGGTTGTGGTTGCTCCGCCCACTTCTCTGTGTGGAAGATGATTATATAGATGTATATGTATATGATTATATAATTGTGTGTTTTATCTGTAAGTTTACAATATGTGTTTGAATCAGATGATTATGAGCAGCTGACAATTAATATTTTAGACTTGTAATTATTAATTTTTAAATTTGATTATTTTAGTGAGATGGAATACTTACAGCACCACACAGCTTCCTGTCTTCTTGCCTTTGTGTATTAGGGACTGAAATAGTGACACTTCTAACAATCTATCATAAAAAAATATCAAGAACTAATTTCAATATTTCTCGGTTATGGAGGTATGAATATAAAACTAAGTATGAACACTTCACATAAATTTATGCTAGTATATATGTGAACTATAAACATCAGTTTTTAAGTTGATACCTTCATCAATGCAAACATCTTCAAGTCAATTGTTATAAACATGTCAACAATACCTTCATTCTCACACAGCTAGATTAATCTGTAACACACACACATGATAACAGTACAAACTCAGCAACATCGTCCAGTGCAATAATCAAACCCCAGCCCCACCCCCCACTATCATCAATCACCCAAGGATCTGATCACTGTATGTGTGTCGGTGTTTGTCACTTTTCAAGAGGGGGGGAGGGGTACATGCAGAAACGATTGTTTGGTTAGCAGATGAAATGCAATGTAATCACTTTCATTTTTTTCTTCTTTTTTTTTATAATAAATATAACAGAATTATATATGTCTTACTATGCAGGATGTGTGCGTATGATGAAGTACACATGCTAAAGGTTTTGGTAACTGTCACAAATATGCATGCAGAACATTATTCAGTCATGCAAATAACTTCCTTCTTATATGCAATTTTGTTTTTATATATTTTATATATTGGTGTATATTGCATGACAGACTAGTGACCATGTACTATTGCAGGCATGGTTACAACGCCTGGCGGGATCCCCAGAAACCAACCCAGATCTTGATGAAGATGTGTAAGGATGGCAAGGTGGATGGACCCCACTACCAGGCCGGCAAGGTCAGGGTTGCAAACAGGATCTTCACTGCACCACTTGAGATCGAAGATGAAAATGGTAAAAGTTTATGATCACAAATCATGGCATTAAATAGTTCTTCATACTTTAGAGTAAAATTTTATTTAATGTGATATGATTTTTCTTTTAAATGATGTAATATATGGCAATTTGTGTCTTGATATTATGAATATAGCTGTATCATTTTTTTTTCTGGTATTATATGTTAATATATTTTTTGTAATTACTGCTAGTATTTTGAATTCAGTATTAAAGAATACTATTTTCAGATAAGATGTAAAAATGAAGTTTATGTATTGGGCAGTTGTATTATTGATATGTTCAATGTCAGATTACCCTTTTAGCTAAGTCAATTATTCCATCGGGTAATGATAAATATTTATAAACACAGTTAGTTTCATAAATTACAAATAGGATTAAACTGATAACAAATAATCAAACAGGAAAATATCAGAAAACGAAGACTGGATCACCATATGACTGCTGCATGTCAGTCGTACTTTAGGCAAAATGGAGGTGTTTTGTTTCCAAATAAGGCAAGCCTGCGTGAACATCTCTCTCAGTTTAATGTCCCATGAAGAGTAACTCAAACACAAACAGCAAACTCAATCAGCTGACTGGCAGACGATTTGGCTCCATGACACAACTACATCACACATTATTTGTCTCTAAAGGGCTTTTCCACAGTTGAACTTCTGATGTCAAACCATTATCGGTCTAAACTCAAATTTGGGTGAAGTTACTGAGGCCTAAAATTTGAAACATTGTTTCATTTATGCACACTAAGAGAACAGAAATGGATTTTTAATTAAATTTTGTGTTTATTAATCCATATGTGTAAGTCTCAGGGGAATGGTCACCTCAGATAGTTAATACATGGATGTTGCGGTTAGATCCAGAGATTGAAATTCACTGTTCTTTATTGTCAGTGACTGTTGTTATTCAATAAATGAAATATATATTTAATCATGCCAAGATGTTAGGCCTGATTTGTGGGATTGGAGGTTTGGCTGTGTTCATCAATCACTTAAACCATTGTTTGCTGAATCGTGGCAATATCATTTATTTTTAATAAATGACAAACTGCATAACTTATTCATTCATTCATATAATCATAATGTTTAGATAATTTATGCTTTGAATGTGATTGATTTTATCAGGCATTATCATATTTAATGGTCTGATGAAATCTTTTTCTGGAAGTTTCAGCTAAGTAAACAACAATTTATTTATGGCAGTGTGAGAGGGCCATAAAAAATAACCACCTCCAAATATGAAAAGAAATGAACAATATGGTTATCTGGATAGTGATAAAATATTGTAGAACATATCAACCTCAGATAAATTAACTGAACATGTTTTCCTGTTACAGATAGGAAATGTCATAGGTAGAGCTAAGAAAACAATAATAATATCTGCTGCATTTTCATCTAAATCTGTAAAACATAATAATAATAGAAAACCTATTGTATTTTATTTGTAATAAGTGTATAATTAAAGTATAAGTCTAATGGTTTTCAGTAAAAAAGAAAAGAATTTGTTATTGACCTCCAGTAGAGTATTGTTCCTGTTAGGTGGGGGTACTTGAATGAGGGGGAAAGATTGTTAATAGCAATAGCAATCATTTTGAAGTACTTTGTTTTAAATTTCTGGATATGACAGTTATATTGAAGAATAAGTAACTGTTATGGCAAAAACTGGAAGCAATCTCTGATGTTGACTTTTGATATTTATATTTACCCTATTAATTGAACATTTGAGATTATACAATTTGATACTTGTTTCGTCTGATGGGATTGCTTATTAATGCAAAACGATCCTGTGGTACATTAACAACAGTTAAAGCAATTTGTATATATACAGTTTTTCATTTTTATGACGTATTAAAAACAGTCTAAAAGGTGCAAGTTCACTTATCCTTTTTGTGTGACTGAAGACATATAGCAATAAAATATAACATAATATTTCATCAGTAGGATATTCTAGAAAACATGTGATAATGTCATTGTACACCTAATTGATTTATTGTATTAATCAATCTCTCTCAATTGGGAAAGAAATGTTAAAGATAGTAGAAAATCTATGGTGTTATGTTTGGAAAGGTCTCAAGTTGGAATCAATTAATCCTCATGCTAACATCAAAGTCGTGATACAACTATTTTGTAAATCAATTCCCTACATTAAATATTTATTTCTTATCAAATATTTGTTTCTGTTGACTTTGAGTATTTCTTTATTTAATGTTGTTCTGCACAAATATTTTCTGACACTATTTCATGAACAGTTTTGCTTTGTCACTCTCTTAGTCATCTCTTACTTCTTGTACAAATGAAAGTAAATATTGATGTTTAAGCTTTAGCTTCTACATTGTCATAGTCATAACCTTTACAAATATAACACAGACTTTTTGTGGGGCAGAGGAGTATGTACACACGTTTCTGTACTTGTGTTCATTCTCTGCCAAATATATAGTAATCCCCCAAAATATACTTGTCTTTTATATATTCTCTTGATGTCACAATTACACAATTAACTTTGATAAACTTTATGTTTCCACTTCCAGACCAGTTTATCAAAGATAAAATGACATTTTTGTACTTTGCAATAAACTAAGGACTTTTTTAAAGTCTAATTATAGGTCATCCAGCACGAAATTAAAATGTCCACCTAATTCATTTACGAATGAGATGTGATCTTGTATTACTGCCTTTCATCTTGTAATGTAAAGATTGGATTTGTTGTCTGATCACATCTTGGATAGTTCCCCAGACCTGTATGTGGCTGAGTGGAATAAGATGTGGCTTATGGCTTCTCTGTGATTGTAAAGCTGTTTTCTTGACACAATGGTTTGTACGTTTCCATATAAAAGAAATCTTGGATGAAATATGATTAATGGGGAATAAACGGCATAGTCCGGGCACTTGTCCTAAGTTGAGTTTCGTGCCATTTCCCTAATGTCAGCAATTGTTTCTGAGTTAAGCGTTTGTCCTGCCTTCTTGCGTTACAGTCCTACACCAGGAAGAAAACATGGGCAAACACTTGCCTCCCTTGCTTCTGCAGTAAAGCTGATGGCCAGTCATTACTGAAGGAAATTACAATATTTTGCCATGTAAACAGATTATCAGAAACGTAAACAGGAATAAATTAGATGCAGGCCTTGCTCTGAGAAAGTGGACAGACCCAGTTAAATGCCATGACTAATGTGTTTGGATAGGCTGCAAGCGTAAATTGGCAGATTGCCTAACTGGGGTCAGCCTCTATTTGGATATGACCCTCATGTTTGAACTTTGACCCAGCTATGTTTATCTTCTTGTTTTTAAAGTTGTTTTGCTAAGTTTAAAATTGAGAGATTAATTGTCACATGTTGTGAGCATTAAGTTTCCTGGTAGAAGAGGGAGGAATAGGTAGTGTGCTCATTTGCCAGAGGAGGGTCTGAAGTGTTTATGCAAAAATATTTGCTTACCAATTTTTTTACCTAATGAAAACATTCAAGTGGGTCCATTATATGTCAGACAAAAATCAAAGTTAAAAAAATCTGCCCAACATATGGCAAGTGGGGTAGGTAGTTAGTTGAAAAGGTTTTGTGTGGTTTTGGATAAAAAAAACTGTAGAAATACTGGAACAAGATGTACAAAGTAAACATCCTAAATATGACTATTTATTAAAGATGAAGATGAGGATAGGAGACCCAAGAAAAAACGCAGAAAATCTAAGGGTAAGTTGTCCCCCGGGGAACACCCAGGGTCCACAGTGGGTGATGACGTTGTTCGTACTAACCAGGTGTCTTGTCTACCACTTGCTTTCACTTGGGGTTGCCTTCAGTGTGTTGTCACGCCGGTAACACGGACAACATCAGATGCTGTAACAACATCATCAACTCACCACTGAATATAACATACCTAACAACTCGTGTGTTGCTGTACACCACTGTTGGTGCATCCTATCCACTCCTGGTGCTGTGTATGCTGACGTCTCCATCTGGTACCCTTATGCTTAAAACTCAGAACACTCACTCATTCAGCTTCAGGAATCTGCCATGATCTGTAACAGTTACTACTATCCTATATCTTTTTTTCCCTTTTTGTAAAATGAATATGTGTTTTAAGTGTCTGGCTGTTTGGAATCTGAAATCAGAAGGAATGATAAACGATCTGTGGAACTGTTATTCTGTTGAGTCATTATATGTGGTGTTGTCTGTTTGAAGTAGTAACTAAAGCAGTAATTGTAGCTGAAAAAAAGACACATTTCTGATTTTAATATCAATAATGTTCACCAAATCTCTGTCAGGCAACAGTAATGTCAAAGTGGGTAAAGTCATGGTTGAAGAAGCATACAGAGGCAGTTGCAATGTTTAAAACACTAATCATATATACCATGTTATTTTTGTACTGATCTAAATAACCATACCTTATAACCTTGACTTCTCAACTTGTTGTATGTTGTATGTGTATCGGTATGCCCTATTGTAATGAAGTTGTTATTCAACTTGCTACAATGAGATTTGTTCTCAGATCATTAGCTAATTATTTTTGGTCATCTGTACTTGATATAAATATTAATAATACATATGTCTTAAAAGTATATCAGATTTTCTGTTTGACTTTCACCTGAATTTAATCAAATTATTCATTTTGTTTGGTGAAGATAATTTTTGGATTCTCCTCTCATCCACCAATGTTCCAGTTCAAGCCCCTGTTGTATGTGTGGTAGGTTCAAATATATTGAGAGAAACAAAAGTGTTCCTTTAATATTTTCCAGTTTTCATCACCAGCTTTGAATAGCGCTGTGGGAGGAAATCTGAGAATAAATAAAGGAATACTGCCATGAAGTGGTGTTCCCTTAATTGTTTCCTTCAGTATATGAATATTGATATTCCTACTAATGTGAGCTACAGAACCTATTGTATCTCTGCCGTAATGTTTGGCTTACACTTGTAGATGGAGTACGATAAGTGTTGTGTTAAATTACAGGTGTGAAGAAGGCAACAGATGAGCATCTTGCCCTGGCTGTGTTGAACCACTGGGAGGAGATCCCCAAAGTGGGCTGCAAACTGGTGCCTGAACATGTGGAGACCCGGCCTCTCTACAACCCAGAGAAACCAGGCATTGAACAGGTAACACATTCCTTGCCATTATCTCACCACCAAACAAGTTTAATCTTAAGTGAATGCTATGTTTTTCAAAGAGCATCTAGCCCAGGCTGAAAATTGAAACATGAAGAATTTGAAGAATCCCATTTCAGTGCAGCTGAACATTCCAGAGGTTGGTGGAGTCACATGTCTTCACACCTCTGACAATGGCCTGAGTTGGAAGACTACACATATTGACTCTGGTCTAAGCCCCATTACAGACTAAGTGCTAATGAAGTAATCCTTAAGATATGCTGATGCTGGTACCGACATGTGTAGTCACGCCTTCTTCCGCTGTTCAGAATGTTCACCATTCAGAGGGTCAGGAATCTCTCTTGGATAGCCAAGCAAGCCAATATTGAAATCTAGCTTTGCCACCTCTATCCTAATAATCATTGCTGTCTTTGCAAATCCCACTCCTTTAAAGTGTATTTGTCCCAAAGTTTGAAATCGTAACCCTCAAGCATGGCTTTAAATTTCTCCAAACATGTTGAGTGTTGACAATGTCCACAAAGTAGGGAGAAACTTCTTTGTCCAGCAATGGTTTGTTTGACTATAGAACCTGGGTACAAGATGTTGACCAGAGCAGCCTTCAGTAAACATCATGGTACACACACTGTAACCATTCACGCTGAGAAATAAGCTGACATGATCAGCGGGTGGTCATCTGAGGAAGATGCATACCTGCAATTTGTGACATATTGCACAGTATATTGAAGCTGTTTAATGAATAGGTAGGCCTATGTAAATGATGCTTTGATCATTCAAACTGATATGTCCACACATTTCCTTCATTACTGCAAGACATGCATGGATATCTCATCACAATCTTGGGGAAGTGTTGATGGAAGACTGATGTATATAGTTCTGCTTACTTGTACATTAATAGACTCAGATAAAGAAACTGGAATAAATCTAGAAAGTTTAATATAATTACAACTGAGTTGTGATCATAGCTATATCAGAAAAATTGCATGAACTTTGAACTTCCTGCTGATTGTTTTGACACTGAGATGGTTTGAGTCTGAGATGGTTTGAGACTGAGATGGTTTGACACTGAGATGGTTTGACACTGAGATGGTTTGACACTGTTTAGACCTGAATGGTATGCTTCAGGGCAAGATTGAGATGTGGGTGGATATGTTCCCCATGGATATGCCCTGTCCAGCAGCACCAGTAGACATCTCTCCACGCAAGCCCAAGAGGTAAGCTGCATCCTCAACATAGAAGGGTAACATCACCATCCTTGTCCTTCATGAACACACACACCAACCAACTCTGAAACTAAGTCTACACTCTGCTCTTATACCAGTTGGAGCATATGTCACATTCTCTCTGAATATCCCTCATACTGAAGTACATCAGAGTAAGGCTTATTTACCATAAGCCTAGAAATAAGATTTTGGATTCATCTGGTATGTCATCTTTTAATGGCATATTTAATTTTAATACAATAAGACAGTGTTGTCTTTTTGCAGTTCCAAAATTAAATGTTAGATATTTTCATTTAACAAAACCATTTTTACTTTGTTTGACAAACCCAAAAGCATGTTTTTTCATTATTTTTAATGAAACTATTGGAATTTACCAAATTAATTTCCAGAAAAAAATAGATAATCTAAGAAAGATACAATGACTGGTCTGTTTCCATAATTGTAAAGTAATATTTAAGAGATCTGTCCCTATCTAATTTTGTGCTTTTGCCATTAAGTTATATCTGATGTTTACCATCATAACTATGAATCTTAATAGTATTTCCTGAAACACAAAGTTCACTTTCAGATTCCAACTTGTTGAATATTCTAAGAATATCCCTATATCAAATATATTTATAACTGCAAAACCTAGACACTGACAGCCAAGAGAATGCTAATGTTGGGTGTCGCTTTGTTGATAGTTCAGTCAGATAAAGTTTTAACCGAAGACTACCGGTATTTTAAAATTGGTAATATTTCAACACTGAGAATTTAAGATATAAGTGTATGAAGGCTCTGTCTTCCCATATTTACCTTTCTTTCAATGCATCTATAATTACATGACTTACTTTCATAACCCATTATTAAGGCCTCTTTATGCTGTCAAGCTCTCTTCAGAGTTATATATGTTCAGTTGCCAATTGATGTAGCACACAGTTTAGCAATACTTTGAATGTTATCACTATTTTAAGTACTAATGTATTTTATTCATAACAAATTCATGAAATTCTGTCTTGTATTTGATATTTAATAAATTCAATGAAAATTTAGAATTAAACCCAATACTTTGTTTTTCAATGTTCATTGTGAGGCCAGACAAATTTGAGAATTTTAACAGATTTTCTTTAAGCTGGAAAATGTATGTTGTTTCATGCCCCACTCAGCCATGTTTATAGTTTTCTACCAAGTGTTCAAATCTGACCACATAATCACATTAGTCACTTATTACAACAAATATGGGTTACTGAAGATCAATCTTAACCTGGATCTTCATTGGTCAAAGAAAACTGTCACACTTAACTTCACCAAAAGAATCCATAAAAATAGCTAAACAAAAACTACAGACAAAAAATAAATTCAAAATACATAATATTTACATTCAAACTAACCATTCTTAATTTGCATTTCAGAAATTGAATTTAATTGAAGCTGATCTAGTATTTCCATTCAAATTATGCACCAACTAAACAATTTGATAATTAACATAGCAAAGCCAGAAACACTGTCCCAGTAAGGCCACATAAAGTATATTCTTGTTTTTAAACAAAATATTTTGACATTTTAATTTATTTTATGTCCCAAACCCCTTGATTTCTGTTGAAATTTGCACCTTTTCTCCGATAGAAAATCAAAACTTAGAAGTGTAAAAAATTCATGCACATTGTCTCTTGTGTAACAAATCAAACAAATCTTAGGGTTGGTCAAATTTTTGGGTTGGGCGGAAAAGAGAAACAAGAATAGTTTTATATATATATATGTCCTAAGGAAGAAATGACATGTAAATGACTCACAGATTCCCACATATTTTCAAATCTCTGTATTTCTGATTCTGATGGTTGTTGAACAATTATTTACACATGACAGGTCAGTATATTAATTTTCAAATATGGCCTGTGGGTGTTTCTGTGCGTATTTCCTGCATGAGCCAGGAGGGTATACTGCCTAGACAATTCCTCTCCATCCTAATAATCATTGCATCTCAGGTTGCTGGCAAAGTTGGAAAACATCAAATGCAGTGAAAATAACCCCCTGCAGGTTAGGAGGTTGTTGTCTCCCATTACCAACATTGTGTTACTAATTACTTACAATTTGTTTTTCTCTAAACTCTGTCTACAAATGACATTATAGCAATTTCGGTTCCATACAGTATGTACACCTAAGGCAATGGGAAGACGAACATAAGCTCAAAGGAAAATTATTTCCTTTCATAAAGGTTATGTGTGAGTCCATGGTGAAGATCCTGCCATGGTCATTACTGTGTGTATGTGGTTTCTTGGTGCCCTCACAACAGGAATCGGCAGTGCTAATACTGCTCAACCTGATACATACTGGTGTGAGCATTTCAAGGATTTAAGGAGGAAGTTCATTTTATACTGCAGTGATATTCTCTGTCAAAAGAAAGATACTTGTAACTTATAACTGGAAACATCTCTTGTCTGAATAAAAAAGAACAAACTTCATTCCATGAATCATAAGAAATCAGAAATCATGAGTCTATTATATGATTCTAACTATGACTTCTTTGAGTGGCATGTTAGAAGTTTGTCTGTATTGATTCTAACAAAATCATAAGTTATGTGTGAATATCTCTCAAACACTGATGATAACAGATGTTTGTGAAAAGTTGAACCTCTGCTGCCCCACTAGGGGACGTGTCATAAACACATTCAGAGGCAAGTAAATTGTTCATCTAAAACAACACGGGAACATGTGGTACAAGTACAAATAGAGAATTACATCAGGCATTATTTTTGTCCTTGATGCATCAAAGAACAGGCAGATAGAGTACTAGATATACATATGAGATTTACTTAGGAGTGATTTATCAGTATGCCAGCAGGTAGATCAAGATTTGCAAGATATAATTAAGAAACCTCAGTTTACAAACATAAATGGAAAAATCTGTCAATTTAATCCCATGCATGTGCATGATAGACTGGAAACTGAAGTGACTTTCACAGGTAGCTACCAGTCCAATCACTGTACTGCAGCATTTACAATAAATAAAGAAATAATTCACACCTAAGTTTGCACTTCTAACTAATCAAACCTTTCATCTCACATGTAAATAAGACAATTCTGTCCTATTCAGGAAGATATTGAATAGGTGATATTTTTGCAGGCCTGCCTTTGATTTCCATCTGGGAATTTCCCATATGTGCAAGAATTTTGTCATGTGATTATTGACTAGGAAACTTCATCCTTCTTGTGGCTGCAGCCGTGTGTGTGCTGGAGAGGAGCAGCGTCTCCTGATGCATGGTACTGCAAGCAATGAATAGAAACCAAAGTTAAATACATGTATTCACTTGATAGGATTTGGCTAGAAGCTACTAGTTAGCAACAAACACACTATTATTGATGTTTCAAAAACTAAATGTGTTTAACACATGAGTATGAAGAAAGAACATATGTGTATGAAGAAATAGATAATGTTCAAGAATTGTAAGTCATTAATTTCGTTATATTAACTGTTTTACAAAATTATTGGCTAAAGATTTTAATGCATGCGGGGACAAATTACTCTTAATAATTTTCACTTTGCTCACTTTGCAAATGGGTTCCAAAACCCACAGACACTGAATGTATGGCTAATGTGTTCATCTCATTTATCAGTTTTTTTAAAGATTACCATAATGTTTTTGGAAGATTGAAGAAAAGTTTTATTTGTTATATTTTAATGGCACCAAAGTTCTTTTGGATTCAACTAATTTGTATGGAATATTGACACACTTACTTACTAGTGGTAAGACAACATGCACAGGCAAGTCAGTGTGTCCTGCCCCACTGGTGGCACCTCTCACAAACACATGCAGTGGCAGGTCAGTGTGTCCTGCCCCCTGGTGGCACCTCTCACAAACACATGCAGTGGCAGGTCAGTGTGTCCTGCCCCACTGGTGGCACCTCTCACAAACACATGCAGTGGCAGGTCAGTGTGTCCTGCCCCCTGGTGGCACCTCTCACAAACACATGCAGTGGCAGGTCAGTCTGTCCTGCCCCACTGGTGGCACCTCTCACAAACACATGCACAGGCAGGTCAGTGTGTCCTGCCCCACTGGTGGCACCTCTCACAAACACATGCAGTGGCAGGTCAGTGTGTCCTGCCCCATTGGTGGCACCTCTCACAAACACATGCATATAATATAGTCACAATCATACAATGGACTCTATCATTAACAGAAATTTCTTATGATTTTTTATTACATTTTGATAGAATTTGAAGTTGTTACATAAAGACTTTATATCTCTTAATTATAGAGTGACAGGGAAAATGAAAGTATATACAGTCGAACCCCAATGTCTCGGTTGAGACAATCTCGGTTGTGTTGAACTCATCTCTCGGTCCCTGACGATTTCCTTACATTTATCTGACGGATGTATTGAGGACTGTGAGAAGTTGAACTGTTCCCTTGGTCCCACAAGTTCGACACAATGGTGGTTGACTGTACATTCTATTCTTATTCTATATGCCCTAGTCAAGTCATTTCAGTGAACAATAGTATGTGCTGTCTACTTCAAGACAAATGCAAGAACAGTGTATGAGGTTATGTACAGATGAGTTTGCATCTTTTTCAGCTATGAGCTTCGCTGCATCATCTGGAACACTGATGATGTTGTGCTGGAAGATGACGCTTTCTTCACAGGAGAGAAGATGAGTGACATCTATGTGAAAGGCTGGGTGAAAGGTTCAGATGACATGCAGAGCACAGACATTCACTACAGGTAAGGGAACAATCAGGTGAACAGTCTGATAGCAGTTGCATTACAGTGCAGCTCATATAGAGCTGAACAGTCTGATTACAGCTGGGCGATCCAGTAACAACTCAAATAGAGCTGAACAGTCTGGTTACAGCTGGGCGATCCAGTAACAACTCAAATAGAGCTGAACAGTCTGATTACAGCTGGGCGATCCAGTAACAACTCAAATAGAGCTGAACAGTCTGATTACAGCTCGGCGATCCAGTAACAACTCAAATAGAGCTGAACAGTCTGATTACAGCTGGGCGATCCAGTAACAACTCAAATAGAGTTGAACAGTCTGATTACAGCTGGGCGATCCAGTAACAACTCAAATAGAGTTGAACAGTCTGATTACAGCTGGGCGATCCAGTAACAACTCAAATAGAGTTGAACAGTCTGATTACAGCTGGGCGATCCAGTAACAACTCAAATAGAGCTGAAGTCTGAGTCTGATTAGTAACAACTCAAATAGAGTTGAACAGTCTGAGTAACAACTCAAATAGAGCTGAGTCTGATTACTGAACAGTCTGATTACAGCTGAACAGCTGATCAGCTGGGCGATCCAGTAACAACTCAAATAGAGTTGAACAGTCTGGTTACAGCTGGGCGATCCAGTAACAACTCAAATAGAGCTGAACAGTCTGATTACAGCTGGGCGATTACAGCTGGGCGATCCAGTAACAACTCAAATAGAGCTGAACAGTCTGATTACAGCTGGGCGATCCAGTAACAACTCAAATAGAGCTGAACAGTCTGATTAGAGCTGTATTACAGCTTGACAATCCAGTAACAGCTTCACATCTGAACAATCCATCACATCTTGGTGTAGCATGTGAAAACAATTGTTTTTAATATTGGAGGCTTTTCATGTTATCAAGTCAATCAATGTAATCAGTTTATAGGTTTGACTTTTCTTTGATTATGAAATGTGTACACCATATTTCTGTGATGATGAAAATGGTGTCAAAATAGACCATTTTGCTCATAACTGAAAATCAATCTATGCCAGTATTTTGTAGTAACGTTACACCCAATCAAAGAATTGTAGTTTTCATATCACTTATTTAATCATCATTTGCCTATGTATAAAAATGCATTATCAACATGGCATTTCTATAATGTATTGGTTTTAGATAAGGTGTTGATGTGATCACATACTTTCATCATGTTTAAAGATTGTTGAATTAGCCCATTACCAGTCATAAAATCATTAGTGTGTATATATGCAGTGGAATTATGTTTCTAGAAATATTATTTTCTTCATTTACAGTGATTGATAAAAGTATGTGATAGAAAAAGTCATATGTGTGAGTTCATTGCCTTTTTATTTACTTGTGGTTGAGGTTCCTTCATCCCATATGACTGTTGATGAATCTCTGACACTTGCCATGTAGGTCCTGCTATGTGTCACAGTTACTAGACCAGAGGTAGCCTTGATGAATCTCTGACACTTGCCATGTAGGTCCTGCTATGTGTCACAGTTACTAGACCAGAGGTAGCCTTGATGAATCTCTGACACTTGCCATGTAGGTCCTGCTATGTGTCACAGTTACTAGACCAGAGGTAGCCTTGATGAATCTCTGACACTTGCCATGTAGGTCCTGCTATGTGTCACAGTTACTAGACCAGAGGTAGCCTTGATGAATCTCTGACACTTGCCATGTAGGTCCTGCTATGTGTCACAGTTACTAGACCAGAGGTAGCCTTGATGAATCTCTGACACTTGCCATGTAGGTCCTGCTATGTGTCACAGTTACTAGACCAGAGGTAGCCTTGATGAATCTCTGACACTTGCCATGTAGGTCCTGCTATGTGTCACAGTTACTAGACCAGACCAGGTAGCCTTGATGAATCTTGATGAATCTGCTATGTGTCTGAGACTTGATGAATCTCACACTGCCATGTAGGTCCTGCTATGTGTCACCAGCCTTGATGAATCTCTGACACTTGCCATTTAGGTCCTGCTATGTGTCACAGTTACTAGACCAGAGGTAGCCTTGATGAATCTCTGACACTTGCCATGTAGGTCCTGCTATGTGTCACAGTTACTAGACCAGAGGTAGCCTTGTTAAGCACATGAGACATAAAATCTGATGTATTTAATTATTTGGTGGCAGCCTTATTTTCCCTGTAGTTTCCTGCCACCTTGAAGCGATGTCTTTACTTAATTAGATAATGCTTTGAAGTAACGTCCCAAACCTTTCCTCCTGATGGCCGGTGGCTAGAACACAAAACGCGTTTCTGTAACAAGAGACATCATTCTACATCTCCTGGCGCTGGATACTTGTCTGTGAGGCTATTATTACTCTAGCTAGTTCGCTTTTTATTATTTCTGAAATGTGATTTTTGTATTTTGACATTTCGAACTCATTCCTGCTTTGGTTTTTGTGAATCACTCCTACCTTTAGATTCTTTTAAATTTATGGATGTTTTACGATTCATGGATTTTCACATCACCATTAAGTCCTGAACTTATATCTTCACTAAATGAAGACTGTAAGGGATGATGGACTTTTCTTAATACCAGCTGAAGAAACGGGCAGATAGTAATGGTCTTACACTTCAAGGCAAGCAATGTGCTTAGCAGTTAATTTGAAAATAATTAAGACAGGTATTGGTTATCACTCATGTTTATAGTGACAATAAAGCTTATGTTTTCAAAACTGAAAAAACATTAACAAAAAGTTACAAACATTTAATCTGTTGGCTGTACCTTTGGAATAGTTTCCAAAGGTTACAAGAATCAAATAGATAAGGCATTAAAATGTCTTGATTTGTGGAAGACCATTTCCATGACAGTATACATGGTGTTGATGTCTCCTTGATCTGTGAACCTGTGACACCACAAGCAGTTTGGGTGAAATGTTAAGTACCTGAATCAGTTGATTAACTCAGGGTAACATCCTGGGAATGATGCTTCAGTAGGGACATGTATGCTCTGGTCCTATTAATCACAGGAGACGTTGTTTTATTTTGTCATATGAAAGTGTAATTATGATTAAACACATTTAATGGTACTCAGACATTTTCCGTTGTTAGGGATGCTTTCAGATCAGCATGGCGAGCCAGTTATTTTTGTGTCACCTGAAGTACAGGTTGCAACAGACTGATATCCTGGCAGTCAGCTGATCATAGGTTTTCTGAAGCCGCAAGTGTTGAAAAGCTAAAACATGAATAATTACATCAATGCATTGCATCCATATTGAAGTATCAGTTGTCCCATCACTGATCTGTGTTAGAATACTCTTTTAGTGATGTCCTGAAACTGTGAGTGCTAGCTAAGTCCATTAATTGCATCATATGCAAAGCCTTTTCTTCAGCTATAATGTCAGTTTCGTTAATGTTTCAGTCCTGTTTCAGTTGTCTGACATCTTCTGAAGCATCAACTTGACCGATTGATGTCACCTACAGTTTTGAAGGGTTATACTGCAATCCAATTTTAAATGTGCAAGACAGCCAGGGCAGTGCTGTAGGAAGTAATCTTTAGCAATTTCTTTTTCATTTTTTGTGATAGTAAAGTCAAGTATCGAGGTCAACTTGTTCTGTTGTATTCCTGTTTATTACCAGCTTGACTGTTGCACTTTTCTTCAGTTTGCAGTGATTGCTCAACAGGCTAAATATCAAATGTTGGGTCCTTTAGACCCTTTACCTGTATCCAAGATCGGATAGTAGATCACTCAGTGTCACTCTACAGCATTATTGTAATGCAGATGCCCTGTCTCTCCTACTTGCTTCAGAGCTTACATTCCCAGACTTTCTTGGAAGTCTTTGATGCATGTATGTCTATAGAACTTTCTCATAAATTCCACTGCTGACCCACTGCCATGGATTCAGCTGTACCAAGGGACAATAATTTGGTTCCTTAGAACAGTAAGCTGAGGAGAGTGAGGGAAGATGTATGAAATACACAAAGGGAAGATCGTTTGATTATCTCAAGTTGCTGCAGTTTGCGGAATTGAAAATAGAATCTTCAAATCTTGAACCTGTCTGTCATTGTTTCTCATTGTGTTAACTCTTATTGCTCAATGACTGATGACAGATATCCACTTACCATTCCCAATGGCTCCAGCCAATGGATGCTTGATAGGTTTTCAGTTACTCTGTACTACTTTTCTGTGGGCTATCATAAGTTATGGAGTGAACACATTGGTGAGGATTGAAATTCTTGATTGGATAGCTGTCAGACAATTTCATCCAGTGAAGAATATGAATCTTTATGAGTGTTACAATATTCTATTCTGACTGTCTGTCATGTTTTCTGGTACTTGAACAGAATGAATTTGTTTTCAATACCAACCAATCTTGGATAAATTTTAGGTTTTTCACCGTTCCGTGATGATTTTGCTCTTTTGCCTCAACTAATGATACAAGTTTGTTAACTTTTAAGGTATTAATATAAATACATGACTAAATGTTCATAAATGTCCATGAATGCCAGGAGAAAAAGGATGTGGCATTTCAAAACTAATCCTAGATTGGTTGTTTTCCTGAAATATAGTCTTGGCATTTTTAGACCAAACCATTCATTACTTTTGGCCATGGAAAGAATATACAGGTATTTTGGAATTGTGCCAAAGCTACATACTACCATCTTTATCTTCTTCTTTTTGCAGTGTTAGGATTTATGACATGGCAAAGTCAACATTTAGAACTACATTTTGTTGTAAACATATTTAGTTTTTAATTTATGAACATTTTAAAATGGTGATAAAGGATTATGTGAATAACACAGGCAAATGATTACACCCATGGCTGATCTATGAATGGTACCAGTGTCAGGGCAATGTACACCCATGGCTGATCTATAGATGGTACCAGTGTCAGGGCAATGTACACCCATGGCTGATCTATAGATGGTACCAGTGTCAGGGCAATGTACACCCATGGCTGATCTATGAATGTTACCAGTGTCAGGGCAATGTACACCCATGGCTGATCTATGAATGGTACCAGTGTCAGGGCAATGTACACTTATGGCTGAT